TAGTTTTTCCAGTTGCAATATATGGCAGTGAAAGTTGGACTATAAGAAAGGCTGAGCGCCAAAGAATTGAGACCTTTGAACTATGGTGCTGGAGAAGACTCCTGCATGTCCCTTGGACTGCAAGGCATTTAAACCGGTCAGTCCTAGAGGAAATCAACCCTGACTGCTCCTTAGAAGGCCAGATCCTGAAGATGAAACTCAAGTACTTTGGCCACCTAATGAGAAGGAAAGACTCACTGGAGCAGAACCTAATGCTGGGAAAGATTGAGGACAAAAGAAGAAGGGCACAACAGAGAATGAGGTGGCTGGATGGAGTTACGGAAGCAGTAGGCATGAGCTTAAATGGACTTCAGGGGATGTTAGAGGACAGGAAAGCCTGGTGGAAGATTGTACAAGGGGTTGCAATTGATCAGACATGGCTTCGCAACTAACTAACAACATTATCATTATGGTTATCATTGTTTTCTAAAAAACGCCATATCTTTAGTTTGCATTTTATTTGGCAGAGGGACTATTGTTCTATTATATATTCAGTGTTTGAATTGCTAGAAATAATAAATCTCCAGTGCATTATAATTATAATTGTGATATAGGAATACATGACCATTTTGTGTGGTTATAATAATCCAAAATCCATTGTGGAGGGAATAGGTTATCACAGAAATTTCATCATTATGCTGTTTAGGGATTGAGAGTGTAGAAGGAAGATAATTTTTTTCCAAGCTTTTCAAAGATTAAATTGTATACAGTAGTTTAACAAATAAGCTGTCCTCTTGTCCAACACTTTAAATATAAAATGTAGGTACTAATCAGTTCTGAAAAATGAGCTATGGTGTCTAATAATGTAATCCTGAGTTTTTAAAAAGATGGATAATAAATATAAATTGTATAAAATATAAATGCAGTTGCTTTACCTTTAGATACTTTGAGCAAATTTGGAGTATTTTATATAAAATAATTCTTCAGTGATGATGTAATTTTAACACTACTTAGTTTTGGAAATATTTGAAGATTTCTCTTAGTAATTCTTTTAGTTTTAATATAATTAATTTTTCCCAACGTACTATAAGTATGGTTTTCTAAAGGACAGTTTTCAGAATCACTCGAGTATTAGAAAAAGATATATTTTAATATTCTGCAAAATATTTAAACTTGTAAGCAGTTCTGTTGCACATGTTTCTTTTTGGAAAAGTAAAGATAACAGGTGATCTAGAATTCTAGAAAGACTGCAGAACTAGCAATTTGTTCAATTTTCTTTTTATCAGAGAAAGTTGTGTTTGCCAGGCATTGTGACTTTAAAGATATATCAGCCTCCAGATCAAAGGCATAAATATTACCGGTAACTTTATTTAAGTTGCTGTTAATAATGGCTTAAGCATATTTCTTTAAAAATAATGTGAGTGTTGAAGTTGAACCTTGTCTATGGCAAAATATAATATATTCACTCTGGCAAAAGACCGATCATTTGGGAGGTGGGTTGATGGTTTCTTTTATGAGTATGAATAAACTTCAAACAACAATGAAAGAATTGCCTTATCAGACTTGGAACAAGTGTAATTTACAGTTCTTGAATTGTTAAGCCATGAACACCTGAAACAGTTGTGTTGCTTTCTTTTTGATTATCCAAAATTGTAAAGCATGACAATTTGAGTGGCTTAAGGCCTTTTCATTAGTTAGCTGATACTTGGAGGCCAGCTCTGATCTGCTTTAAGCCTTTGGTGCACTTATTTTTCCCCCCAACACAGAATAAATTAAAGAATGAACAATTATTTTTGTTTAGATCATCAAAAAATAAAACATTAAAGCTGTAATTCTATCTCCATAGAACTCCCATTAATAGGATTTATTCCTAAGTAGAGAGGGATGTGGCTATACTTTTAAGCTGACCTTAGTAATATTGGAAGATTGGGGAAGGGATAGTGTGAATGTTTACACATGTATATAAATTTGTAAATGTAAAATCATATTTCTTTCTGGCCAAAGGTGGGCATTTTTAATTATATTTATTGAAAACTAGCCATTTCCATTCAAACTATTGAAACTTTCATTAATTTAATTTGTAACAGTACCATAGAAAGAATAAACGAAAGTACAATTTTGGTTGGTTCTTGATATATTTCTTAATACATAATTTTGGAATTATATCAAATCATAATTAGTATTTAAACTTATAGGACTTTTTATATGTTTACACAGAGGGATGCTTCAAATGGAAGCATAGGGTGTTTTTTTCCCTATCTTTCACAGTAAAAATATAATTGTATATTTTCTCATACATTATGGCTCTTCATTCACTACATAATCCAATTGCCCAAACATTTTTAACAAAGTACACATAACATGAAATGCTAATGTCACAAATTAATGTCTACAGTTCTGAAATTACAATAGTAATTGAGCCCAGAATTATAGTTGTAAATTGTTGCAATCATAAATTAAGATATTGTATAACCAAGCCCAATTTTTCAACATTTCACCATTTCCAAATCCATTTTACTCAATGGGCATTTTTTGCCTGCAACTGGAAGTAAACTCTGAAAACCTGCAAAAATTGTCAAAAATTATGGTCATATGGCTGCAGGATACTCCAAATAGCCATAAAGGGTGAATACCTACCGAAATGCGATCACATGACTGTAAGGGTGTATACAGTCGATGTAACTTTGAAACCAGGTTTTAAGTAGCTTTGGGAGGGGGGAGTTCTATTGTAACTTTGAATGGTCAGTAATCAATCGGTTACAACTTGAGGATTACCTGTACATATTGAATATCATATATGAAAAAAACCCAACTTCCATAAAACTAAGTTCACATGTGAAGTTTTGTTCCTGTAAGGAATTGATGCTATTTGCCTGGTGTTTATGTGGGACATGAATTAATCTG